TGATGAGGGCGGGGATGCATCCATATGAGTCACCCTGTTTAATGATAGGCATGCGGTGAGCGAGACCCTGATCAGCAAGTCAGGGATAGTGGGAATCAGGATCGAGAATGTATATTGCGTCGGTGGGTACGGTTCCCCTAACATGAATAGGCACGACTTTGATGCCTATGTAAGGGAGCTCGAAGAAGTATTGAAGAACGGTAGGAAAAGAGCTCCGGCGTTGATGGTGGTTGGGGACTTCAACGCCAAATCATCGGCATAGGGAGGCAAGAAGACGGAGTCCAGAGGAACATACCTACTAGAAGTGATTACAAAAAATGAATTGATACCGATTAAGACAATGGAAAATTATTCCTTCATGAGAAATGGAAGGACTAGTTTCCCGGATATTTTAAGCGTTAATCGACGAATGAGGCTGAGTTGGAGGAAGAATACGGTGTTTGATTGGTACTCAGCCTTTGACCATTATTATTTATTACACGTATTTGTAAATAATGTCAAGCGGGCGGTAGGAGGGAATTTTAAATGGTGACGAAAGACATTGACGTGGATAGATTTTTAGATAAATCTGATAATAATTTTAATTTATTGAATATTGACGAGACGGCATGCGGCGACCGGCTGCAGAAGAGCCTGGAACGTACGTGTGCCGAGGATCTAAAGAAGACGAACGCAGTAAAGATGAGTGTTCGAAGGGGTTTTGTGCTACCCTGGACCAGGACCCGTGAGGTAGGCTGTACCGAGTAGTGAGAGTAAAAATGATGCGGACGATACCAGCTGAGCCCCTTGGAAGGGACAGGGTGGTAGGGATCCTGGAAAACCTCTTCGTCACCAGACAGGAATCGCGGCCGGAGATGTACCAAGAATTACAGATCCCACCTGGGACAGCCGACGGAGAAGTGGACCTGGACATCGGCAAAGAAGATTTGAAGATAGCCGTCGGTAAGTGTGATCCCAGGAAAGCTGTTGGCGTGGAGGGGATTTCAGGAGGAATTATAAGAATAGTCGCGGAACAACGGACGGGAGTGCTCCTGGATGTGCTCAACGAAATAAATAATACAGGAAGAATACCGGCGGTATGGAAGGTGGCTAGGGTTGTCCTTATACCCAAGCCAGCCAGAGACCCGCTGATTTCATCGTCGTATAGACCGATCAGCATACTGCCGGCATTGAGCAAAGTTTGGGAGCACGCACTTAAGATGCTTATTGAGAGAAGCATCGGTAGGGATTCCTTCCACAAGGATCAACACGGCTTCAGGAGAAGGAGAGGAACTCTGGAAGCCCTTGATAGGACGGTTGCGATTGCCGAGGAATGTAGAAGGAAGGGTCTGGTGTGCGTTCTGGTCGCCTTGGACGTGAAGAACGCCTTGAATACCCTGAGCTGGGGGAAGATAAGAGAGGAAATTAGAAGAAGGCAGCTACCAGGAAGACTGCAGGAGCTGATTTGGGATTACCTGGTCGAGAGGAAGATTGTCGTACACTGTCGGGATGGCGTTGTAAGGAGGAACGTGTACGCGGGGTCGGTTTTAGGACCGCTGTTGTGGAACCTTGTGTATGACGGGCTCCTGAAGACGTTGGACCGTTATGGACGCTGGATTACATAGGAAAGATACTGGAAAAGTTATAAACAAGAGATTAGTAGACGGGACAGAAAGGAATAAAGTAATGGATGGAGAAACAGGGGCACAATGGAAATCTATGTAGTAACTGATGGATTCTTAGAGTAAGGACAAGTAATGATGGTAGGCTCAAAGTTTAATGTATTTTAATAAGTGATATTCAACAACAAGAGGACCGACTACAATATCGTCGCACGTCGATGCATACTCTGCATCCGCTCAACTCGCACTCTGCTTCTCGACTAACTCTCTGGCCGTTGTAGCATTCTTTTGCTAGGCCCACCGCACACGTGTTCCGCAGACGCTCGTAGCCAGGGTCACGTAGGTCTTTTCGGCGAAGCTATTTATTTGAAGGACCCGATAACGCATTGATGGAGCCGACAGCGCCTCGGCTCTAGCAACATTGTCTGCACTTAGCTCGACGTTTCTTAGGCCCTTCTCCCCGATACTACACTCGGCCATCCTGCAGTAACATCTGCCCTCAGATGTTGTGTTCATTCTCGCTATCGTCGGATGTGTCATCTTCGGCGTTCCGGACCCAAGACTTCATGAAATCGGCAGTCGTCGAGGTGTGCGCGGGTCCCTCATGCTCTCCTACTTTCTCCACGGTGTAGCAGTCATTCCGCATGGCTCGCACTACCCGGTACGGACCCAAAAATCTGCTCCCGAGTTTTAACCCTGCGCCGAACTGTGTTCTTTTTATGGCGACAAGGTCCCCCCTTTGGTACTGCTTCGCACTCTTTCTTTTTTTATTGTAATTTCGCCGATTCTCCTCTTGAGTTGCGGCGATCTTCCTTTTCGCGTCCTCACGTAGCTCGCGACGTTGTTCTTCGAACCTCGCGGCCCACTTGCCGTCAATCAACTTTCTAACTTGCGCATCTTCCTTGACTTGCATTTCGACCCCGACCAGTAGCTGAAAAGGAGTTTTCCCCGTGCTTCTGTTTACGGTGGAATTCAGGTATTTCTGAACCTGGTCGATATGTTTATACCAATCATCGAGTTTAGGGGCAGTCAGTTTAGTTCGTAATGGGCATGAGAGTTCTGTTTACCCTCTCTACCTGCCCGTTCTCCCTTGGCGCCCCCGTCGTGATTAATAAATGCTTTATATTTTCTCCTTCGCAATACTCTCGGAAAGCGTTGGATGTGAACGCTGTTCCCCGATCGGAGATGATTCGTCGTGGGTTCCCAAAAATAGCCGCTTGCTTCTTCAGTCGGTCGACAACATCCGCGGTATTAGTAGACCTAGTAGGATAAAGCCACGTGAACTTCGTGAACGCATCCACTATTACAAAGATGTGCGCGTATCTCTTCTTTGTAGCTGTCATGGGGCCCACATGGTCAATATGGTAAGCATCTAACGGCGTGTCGCCTTTGTCCAGCGGATTAAGATATCCCTCTTGCTTACCTAATTTTCGTTCGGCTAGGATACAGTTAAGACAGTTGGATACCACGTGTTCGACCTTTACGCGTAGTCCCTTGAACCAGGAGTCCTTTTTGACCCTAGCCTCTGTTTTGTTTGCCTGACTACTTGAACCTGCATTGCCTTCGGTACTACTATTAGCACATCGTCCTTACACTCCTTATACAACATATTATTTCTTATTACATACCCATCGGCCTGACTGCACGTTGCGGCGTCCAAAATCCTACGGACTTCAATGTCCTTGTTCTGTGCCCTTCTCAACCGTGCAATCAGCCCGTCTTCACTCTCTGTTACATACATAGTGCTCAGCAGGGGGTTCCTACTCAGAGCATCCACGTGCTGCATACTTTTCCCCGGCCGATGACACACCTGATACTTAAACTCGCCCAGTAACAAGGCCCATCTAGCCACACGCACACACAAGTCTTTCTTTCTCATCGTCATGGCGAATGCTTGACAATCCGTAACAATAGTAAACGGCACGCTTAACAGATATACCCTGAACCTTTTCAACGCTTTTACTATTGCTGGCACCTCCAGTTCGTAGCTGGTGTACTTCGCTTCCGCGGGAGTTGTTTTTCCACTGGCAAAGTAGACCGGATGGAATTGTCCGTCGTTTAGATCTAGTTGCATTAATATTGTTCCGTAACCCTCTGCGGACGCGTCCGTATGCAACTCGGTCTCTGCACCTATTCTATAAAGTGTTAACACAGGCCCGCTGGTAAGCGTTGCTTCCAAAGTTTCGAAAGCTTCTGATTCCCGAACCCCGAACCTGAAGTCTATCTCCTTTTTCAACAGATCGGTTAAGGGTTTGGCAATCTTCGCGTAACCTCTAATGAATTTTCGAAAATATCCCGTAAGTCCCAAGAAACTCTGGACTTTTCTAACCGATGTTGGCTTGGGAAAGTTTGCAACGGCCTTGGTTTTATGAGCGGACGGCTTTATGGTGTTTCCCGAGACTATGTGTCCCAAATACTCGATTTCCCTCTGCATAAAACGACATCTCTTCCAATTTATGACTAGTCCATACTGCCTAGTTAATTCTACGACCATCTGCAAGCGTTCCCATGCCTCCTCTAAATTCTTTGCAAGGATAATGATATCGTCCATGTACACGATGACAATACCCTTATCCATCAGTTCTTTGTAAATCTTCAATATATACTTTTGGAAGACAATAGGGGAAATTTTCAGACCGAACGGCAACTTCAGAAATTCGTATTGCCCCGTTGGCGTAACAAAAGAAGTATACTTCTGGCTATCTTTGTCTAGACTCACGTGGAAAAACCCATTTTTTAGATCTATCGTCGTAAAAAGCTGGGCGCCCTGCAACGCATCTAAAATGTCTTCAATTAAAGACAACGGAAAATGTGGACACTCAATGAGTTCGTTAAGCTCACGAAAATCGACGCAAACCCTGATGGAGCCATCTTTCTTTCGGACTACCACTATCGGACTCGCATACTCCGAGTCTGACGGTTTGATGACACCCTCGTTTGTTCACGCTTCCATCAGATCATCTACTTCCTTTCTTTCCGACGGCACCAGCCTTCGCGTTCTTCGCGCTACTTCCTTTCTTTCCAACGGCGCCAGTCTTCGCGGTCTTCGTGCTACGGGTTTGTCGCTCTTCAGAACTATTTTTGCGGTTATCCCGACGTCTCGCTTCTTCTCCGGCCTATACCCTTTAATGATATCGCGAATGGCTTCACGGTAATGAGGTTCTCGTACATGAGACAAGTCTATCTCGTCGGTTTGTTCTATCGCTTTTACCCTCAGTACATCCGGCGCGTCCTCGTGACTGTCAGTCTGACCGTCGAGTCGTAAAAAGGTCACCTCGCCCCGTTTGACTCGCAACTCTACCTGGTCTAAGAAATCAGTACCTAACAGCAGGCTGTGTCTTGTCATTACCTCATTCGAGACAACATGCAGGGTGACAGTAAATTCGTACCCGTCGACCGTCATGTAAACTCGGCCCAGGTACTATTGCCAGCGGAACCAAAACCATCAAACCTAAGTTTGCAGCTTCCCAGAGGTGGTGATCCTAACTTCGCATACTCATCCGATCGTATAAACGTGAGGTCACTACCTGTATCCACTAACGAGGCAAACCTGCAGCCATCTATCGACACGTCCTTCAAGTACTTTTTCCTCTCCGGTCTTGAGATTACGTAAGTCTTTACTTGTCGCGCTGTACAATTCGCCGCCACATGTCCAAACTCGTTGCATTTGAAACACTTCGTACCTTTTCCTTTCTCCGGATACTTAGCACTTAAGTGATCCGCACTGCCACAATTGAAACATCTTCTCTTATCACTCGCTGTTGGCCTCGGCTGGCTTCGCACTTCCGATCGTTTTCCTTTATCCTCCTTGCGTCCCCCAAACTTTGTCTCCGCCTTCATGTCCCTCCTCATCGCTTCATATTGCTTCAGGCGTTTTTTCAGTTGTTGCATGTTCTTGGCTCCATACAACACGGCTTTGTTCGCGACCTCGTCGGGGATGCCTTGAATGATATAGCTGATTTGCGACGGTATATCGACTGTTCCCTGTCCCGCAATCTCACGCATACTGTTCATGTACTGTTGCAGACTCTCATCTGGTCTCTTCGTTCTATTTGCTAACTCCTGGTGTATCTGTTGGTCACTTACTGCGTCTTCGAACTCATTTTTTAACGCCTTCCTTAGCTTTATCCAGGACTTCGTGCATCGTTCTCGCTTCACGACGGATTGAGCGGAGCCCGTGAGCAGTTTCTTAGCAAAAGCTATCATGTGGATGTCTGACCACCCACACACTTTTGCCATTTCTTCGAAGTCCTCGATCCATCGACTTACACTCGGCAGACCGTTCCCACTGAACTTCTCTAGCGAGTCCTCTACGTCTCTGAACGTTAACAGCATGCACCTAGGCTCGTCTTGCCTCGATCGTCTTAACACTGGAGTTACCCGAACTCCGTCGTCTTCACTATTGAGATTGCGCTTTCCTGGGCCGTTAACATCCAAACGGTCCCCAACCACGCCAATCTCATCGTCGTCGTCGTCTTCTTCTGAATCGTCGTCGTCTTCTTCTGAATCGTCGTCGTTGTCATCCTCTGGATCGTCTTCTCGTGCACCGTGTTCCCGTTCTACGCGTAACGCAGCAAGCAATCGTTCTACCAGCTCGCGTTTTCTGCCCGCTAGTTCTCTCAGCCGTCGTCTTCTCAGTTCGTCTTTTAGCTCAGATGTTCGCATCTGCTTCTCCTGTATTGTAGTCAGCCATTGTTTTCAAATACCACTTTCACGTCCACCCGAAATGCCGCTGATTGGAAAATAGAAATTAATTTAAATATAGTCATTATAGGTATCATTTTGTTCATAAGATTTTCGACAATCCAACTGAAACTATCTCATAACAAAGAAGTAAAGAATATAAAAGCTGTGTGTTTTTCTTATTTCGGCTACTTATTAATAATTGTGTCATCGTTGGTACGAGTCATAGGTAACACCGGGAATTGTTTCGCGCAATCAGTTCTATGGAATAGCCGCGATAGCTAGCAAACCAAATCGTTTAAAGAAATTTTGTATTTACTGAGTGTGTATGAGTATAGAAAATTACGACCTCAGACAGACTTAGATAAAGTTGAACGATCTCGATCGAGACGAAAAGAGCCAAAGGGTAGGGTTACTCTAATTTGTATGTCGTAAGTATCGGCTCAAGACCGCCTGACTTTTTCCAAGTCCGTCCAATACCGAGCGGTTCGGAGAGTTCTCTATCTCTGTCTTTCTTGGGCTCCACAATAAAGAAACGAAATAAATCTTTGAGATGACCTAAAATGTTATTATTAAATATACATCTGCAATGGAGATTGTACTGGGCTGTAAGTCTCATTACAATGAGCAAATAATAGTAGTAATTTTATATATATTAAACTAGATTTTTTTATTACTTGAAAATGTTTTTGTTTAACTTACAATAATAGTTTTTCATTTTGTGATAAGATTCAATTGTAAATGTCCCATAATGCTATGTATCCATCTTTTGCAGCTGTAGCCATTATAAATTTATTATCATATGCTTTTATTCTTTCTATAGAATAACTAATATCATGTACAGTATCCTTATGTTGATTTAAAACAGCTAATGGTTTCAAAGTTTTCCAAGAATATAGTCTAATTCGACTGTCCCATCCTCCTACTGCCATAATTTTTGCATCAGGTCTAATTGTAATTATAGAAGTGCCAGGATTTGTCATTGTTATTTTGTTCTTATTATGCAGTAAATGATCAACTGATAAACTAAATATCTAAAAATATAAAATTTATATTAATATAAGAAAAACCAATCTTAGTTAGCCTTCTATTTATGAAAGTGTTCAATGAAAATAAATATATTTCCAATTCAATTACTTATATATTTTATGCTTATTTCTTAATTTGTACCTGTATATTATTAGTAGGACCAGCAATAGCGCCCTTTGATAAAGTAGTATCAAAGTCTAAAGCCATTGGACATGTCTCTACTGTTAAAGAACTTAATACTTTACTTTGTCGAACATCCCATAAGATTAACTCTCCTGCTTCATAAGCAACTAAAACTAATTTTTCATTTTTTAATGGTTTGATAGCCATTACTTCTCCCAAGTTCTTGAAATTGCAAGAATTCAATTTCAATTCTACACTAAAAGTATTTAAAGACAATATTCCAACAGTGGATTCTTTAACCGGCACGAATATTTCATTTTCAGAAAATATTTTAAACCTGTTACAGATATTTTATAAATAATTTATTTTATACAATAAGTAGAATATATATCAAGTAAATGTAACTAATTTTCCATAAAATATTACATTTAAAATTTACCTGCAAAAATGACAATGTATATTAATGAATTTATATGCAGTCCACTGAGTTTCTCTTTTCTTATATATTTTCATTAAACCACATTTGTGTTGTACAAGCAAGGTATCATTTCTTAAGTTTTGCAAATTTAAACAAGAATCTTCTTCTGATTTAATTTGGTATAGTTCTCTGTTTGTCTTTAACACGAAGAAGCTGCATTACAAAAATATCAGAGAAACTTTATCCTATTACCTATACATTTATGTCATAGTATCTATATCTGTCTTGTTTCAAGCTATAGCAAATTTAGAAAATCATTTGATAAAGTGTGAGAAAAGTATCAAAGTATTTTATTTACATTTAAATCCCAGATATGAACATTGCCTTCAGCAGTGCCTGCATAGAGATTTTCCACATTAGGCGTCATTTGAAAAAGAATACAATTCACACAATCCATATCACCCCGGAAAACATATTTTGGATCCGGTGAAGGTATTGCCATTGAAATAAGCTTTATATACTTTAATGTTTGCGATACAGTATAAATAAAGATTTTAATTACAAGTTTTATGTAGGAACATCTATAAATACACAAGCGAATAAGATAAATACATAAATTTATCACATTACAGTAATTTTTACAAAAGGATATTTTTTAAGTTAAATGTTTATAGCAATAAACTTAGTTCATATATTGAAATAACCACATAAAAATCCACAATTTCTGGTAATGAAGAGGAGTATATCAATCACCAAGTTTTTAATTATGTACGTGTTTCTACATTAACAATAATAGAGATAGAGAGGAAATGAGAGTGCTCACGCTTTAGTTGTTCCCGGACTAGTGCTGCACCATGCGGTTAAATGTTGAAGGCCTTCCACGTTAGCATATATAAGAAATTATAAAGCTAGAAATCTGCCCTGTTTAATTCTACGCTAGCATATACAATAACCTATTTAATTCTACCACAAACAAGGTATATTCGCTGTTGTTCTACGCTACAAAAGCCTATTTCATTGTAGGGTTCGACGAAGAAGTTCATACTTTTCTATATGAAATAGACAAATATGAGAATAATATAATCGCGTAATAATTAAACTTCGTTGCTTAAGAAAAAGAAATTGTTTATTATATTCTTTTAAAAAAGGAAAGAAAGTCTTGTATTTCAAACGATAATAGATCAATGGATTGATGCGTGAATAAGTAGCTATGCTTGTTAATAACAAGAAAGAGGACATTTTTATTTATTTTAATGCCTTCCTTTCATTTTAGTTCTATTACCACATATTCAGATATGTATATATACATATATAAATACGTATACCATATATATGTGCTGAATAATGTAATAATGTTAACAGGCATAAAAAACGGCTTAGTAATCCCAGAATACATCCAATGTTTCTATAATAATAATCCATACATTAATGTATAAATAAAAACACTGATTTATGAATTTATCTACATACACATATATACATATCCTAACTTAAACCTTTTTAAAATTTAGTAGCTACATCTGACGATAAGATTCAGCTATCATAATCTGTGTAAGAAAATATAAAAAGTGAAACTAAAACAAAGAGTAAAATAAAAGTCAATTTAGTAAATCCTGAAAAAGTTAAAATTTGAACGAAACGTAAATATATACACTTATACTTATTAGAAATACGTATTAGGAATTGTTTCTAAGTTGGTACAAGGCATAAAAACTAGATTACGGATATTTCTGCAATTATGATAAATACAAATATACAAAAATATGCAAAGTATGCTACATATTCAAGAATGTACGAAGTATAAAGACGAAGAATTTTATAAAACTACAATTTTGCATAAATATCAGCAGTCTAAAACTCTTCATGCGTTATAGTTACTTATTTCACCGTGACACATAAAAAAACCACGCATATGTATATATAGAAGGATATATTATAAATTTCATAAATTTCGTAATCTAGAATTGCTCTATAATGCCTGTAGAACATCTCAGCTGCCGACCTAACCAAACCGAATCCTTACGAATTTTGTTTGTAGAGTTAAATAGACCATATCTTTCCGATGTACAGCACATTCGTTTTAGATAAATCAATTTAGATATATTTTATTTATAGCTTTAGATACAATCCGAAATAATTTATCCAAAATAGACGTTTCACTGCGTAGTGCCGGATAAAAATAATCGAATATAGCATTTGTAACTTTGAAAATGTTATAAAAGTTATTAGATGGCACTAATAAATGTCCGAAAGTAATCGCATCATTAATAACATATGCGCGAAGGGCTATTACTGTTTGTTCATCACGCGGATGTTCTCTACTTTTACCAACAAAATAATTAAAGCACCGATTTATTATTATTTAGATGTTTATCATTATATTTATTATTATATAGATTTTTATTGTTATATTTATTACTATTTAAATATCTCAGTGCTTTTTTTGACAATATATCCGACGAGATATTTTATAACGCACATCTTTAAAGAGCACGTTGACATCGACAATACTGCTAATTTATTGCCAATTTCTAATTGTATATTTTCACTTTCGATGTCAATGTTCTCTTTTTCCATTTTATTTAATGGAACATCGTCTGACGTGGACGTAATGAATTGGGACAAGATTATATCCTCTTCTAATAAAGTTGCGTCACAATCAGGTTGACAATTATTGTTATAAGAATTACTATTCAAATTCAACACCATTTGTTCTGATGGTGGGGCGCACTGCTTCTACAGAAGGATTCCGATTGTATGTGTCACCATGCATTCTAGGAATTGAAACAAAATTTTTTAAAATATCTGTATTGAAGTGAGAAATCATTAAAAACATTACATTTTTCTTTTTTAAATCATGGCAAAGCTTACAATGACATTTACTAATTCTTGCAATCTTAAGAAACGAGGCGGAGTTTTTAATCCAGAAGATATCATTACTAACCACTATATAACCTAAACATTAGGCATGCTCCGTAATTGTGTTGATATACATCACGAGGAGATTTGCTATTTAAATTATCAAACAAGTTATTGAAGGTTTCGAAAAAGCTGGTATGATGCTCGGTTTTATACAATTAGTTGAACATGCAGTGAACAAAGTAAAAGAAACTCTTTTGTTGAATACTTGGAATTCGGGCTTACATTTCATTTTATCAAAATCACCTGGCTTTTTGTTTTTCGGTTAATTTGTAAAATGCTCTTGTAACTTCATTTCGTTCTAAATTCTATAACAATTATTCTTGGCGGTTTTAAGCAAATGTAAATAATCGAATAAAAAGTGAATTTTTTATTTCTAATAAGGATTTTGAATACTAACCCGTCTTTTTGTCATTCTTTAATTACTTGTATTTTGATTGGAAACAATAGCTCTAAGTTTCTAATCTGTGCTGTGTAAAACATCTAGAATAATATTTAATATATTTGGTAATTGATTTGTTCTAATTCCATTCTTTGAAACATTGAGTGTTATTGGATGTTTTCAATTACTGGAATTAGAAAAATTGCACTTGTTTAAATTATAATGTTTCCTTTTACCTTTTTGATGTTTCATTGTATCTAATACTAGCTTATATTAACTAACTACTATTGTGAAATAAAACAAGCAAAGAGAAAGAGATTAGTTAATTAATTGCAAACAAAGTAATTAACTAATTGTGGAAACTAATTAAAAACAACCAGAAAATTGGAAATTTAACCTACTTATCTCTTTGCCTGTATCTTACTGTTGTTCCAAATAATCTTAGATTGTAAATTATTTCGTAGATTTTTATCTTTTTAAAGTGGGTATCGTTCATGTGACAATTTGTAATCCTTACTACAGTAAGCGGTACAATCTGTTTTGTATTCTGTTGGTAATGTTGGGAGTGACACGAATATGGTAATAACATAGATGAGCATACAGCAATACAAGAATATCCTATTTTTAGTTAATGGTAGTAGGGCTCTAGAGTTTCAGGAATTCGGGCCAAAAAAATATATTGCATGATTGGTCTACCCTCATATCTCGTCTGTACCCTAATTTTATAGGTTCTTAAACATACTAATGTGGTACACGTTCAACATTTGGCTGTATGGTGCAGCACTTGCATTGTGAAACAACTAAGCAATGGATGGGAGGACTCTCATTGCTTCTTTGTTAATACTTAAAATCAAACATAAACATCAGTCGTGTGCTACATGCTAGATAGAAAACAGCAAAAATGTCTGAAAATTCGATATATGATATGGCCTACCGCGGCAAAACCACAGACGTTAAAAATTTATTAAATGAAAATGAAAGATTAAAAACAGCTAAGGATGGTGTAAGTGCATCGTTGTTTATATGAAATATTTTTTAAGGTTATGTTATTAGTCAAATTTATTTCTTCAGAATAGTCGAATGTTAATACATTGGGCAGCACTTGGAGGACACGATGACTTAGTAAGATATTTATTATCTCTTGATGTACCGGTAGATCCTACTGATGATGTAAGTAAAATAAGCCATTAGTAAGTAATTTGTCATATAATTTTATGGTAAATTGCAAAATATGCTTTCTTATATCTTACTAGTTTTATTCAGAGTTACCTAACATTTATTTTAACTATCTATTATTTCTAAATAAACCACGATATATATTTACTTATTAGTATGTTACATATAATATTACATATAATAGGCAATATTTACCTAAAGCAGATTTTCTACTGAATTGTTTTCAGTAGAAAAGTAATAAACTAAACTAAACTATTGAATTGTTGAGGGATTTCTTAAACTTACTGTGTGAAAAGCATTTTAAAGTCGTTTAAATTTGATATCATATGATATCTTATAGGAACTAAAATATTGTTTTCAATTTCATTGAATATGTTATTTCCTAGTATATACAATAAATATATAGTATATAATATATATAATAACATATATATATTATTTTTATATATAAAGTGTTAATGTTATGATTTATTACATAAAAACATATTTAACCGTTTGAATCCTAGGGGTCATTGAAAAAATAGAGTGAAAAAATCCCGAACAACACGATAGCGCTTGTCTTAATCGATTGCGAAAAGAAACAAGCGGCACAATAGCGCTCGTTATATTTATTACTTATCTATATTATTATATATGCGTACTATTAGTTTATAAATATTTCAAGTTTTGTTCAATTAAAAGTATGGAAAAGATAACAATGAGATACAAAATACCGTCAGCATGGGACTCTTCGACACAAAATCTAAACAGCGCGATCGCGCTGTTTGGAGCTGAAACGGTTAAAAACGATATAAACAAAAAAATATGTTTCTATGAAATAAAATTTTGGTCGTTTAAAATTAATATTTACACTGTTAAATAATGAAGCTTATACTCTTGTTTTATATTTATAATTGCCTTTATCTCTTCTTTTCTGTGAATTTTAGTGATACGCAATTTATATAAATCTAAACTACTATACATAATTTGTAATTTATGATACATGTTATTGTATTTTCGAAAAGTGAAAAATGATAGAAATTAACAGATATTGATCATGTATATTATTATGAAAAATAACAAAAATCGACAGATATTAATCTTGTATTATTTTGTAAAATAATATTTGTTTACACCATAGTTATTTCATAAGAAGAAGATATAAATTTTAGGTCATTGAACTTATTTATGGTCAACATTTTGTCTACCATATGTAACTTTTTTTGTTAAATTGAAATTTGTGAAGAACACTGTTTTGAATAGCATACCTTGAAATAAATTTTTATATATTAAACTTTTGATAATGTAATAAAAGTACAAAGAGATAATGATTTAGAAAATAATTATTTTTTTATTATCAAAATTTCTTGCTTTTCTAATGTCAGATACAAAAAATGCACATTTTCAACTTAGTATGAGAAATAAATACCTATTAATAATTGTTTTATGTACATATGTATATATGATGATATTTAAGACATGAAATGTATAATACTACATTTAATTAGCCTGAATCTTTCACGTAATACACTATGAAATGGTTAATAATAAGTAATTACATATTTATAAAAACAGTCATACAATTTCTAGATCTTTATATTATCTTTTTATATAATCCTTTGTGATGAGGACATATTTTAGGCATTATTTGAATTTAGATTGTTTAGATTTTAATTAATAGCAAGATTCATTTTATAACTCAAAAGATATTATAAGAAGATCTCTGAATACAATTTGAAAGATTAAAATTTATGCTACATATCAATGTGTATATACATGAGACATCAGATGCAAATTTGATACTTTAAAATCTACAAGCACGACTCATATTTGTTGTCTTTTATACCTTAGGCCTTAAATGAGAGATTATTTGCCACATAAGTATTTTGCGACTATTATTATTATCTAGTCTGAATTAACATTTAGGAATGTAAGCAAATATTTTAGCAATAATTTCACTTATGAAATATCGCTTCATATCATAAAATATAGTAATAATAGAATATAATATTTTGTATTATATAGAAAATACATGAAATTATAGTATAACTAAAAAAAAAGTTTCTTCATGCAAAGTTAAAAATATAAGATAAAATTCGTCTTATCTCTTTAAAAAAAATTGTAAGGTAGGCTGACATATGTTAAATACAGCTTTCTTTATTCATCTAATCTAACTATTGTTAGTTCCTGTTTGTATTTATAAACAATTTAGAATAAATTACTAACTCTATTGATAATGTAATTTTACTTCAAAAAGAAAACCTAAAAAATCAATTTCATATCAAATATGTCATAAGTAATAGTTTAGAAACATTCAAAACTAGATATTATTCAAAACTACACTACTCATTTTTACTACTACTTATTTTTAGTTTTTCAAGTTCTATTGTTGTCCAAAGGCTTATAAAAATATTGTAGGGTAGCACCTAGCATCAACTCATTTTTACATGAGGAATCATCTACTCCTTAATTGCATCATGTTAAATTAATTAAATATTTTAATTGTGTTGTTTAGATGGATATGACACCATTAATTTTGGCAGCATCAGCTGGTCGTGAGAAAGTTGTTAATATCTTACTAAATGAAGGTGCAAATGTTAATGCCAAAACTCAAGAAGGCCATTCAGCATTGCAATATGCGGCATCAAAAAACTGGAAATCTATTTGTGTTGCATTACTAGAAAAAGATGCTTATATTAATATTACCGACAAACGTGGTGCTACACCACTACATAGAGCCGCATCTAAGGGCAATATTGCTATTGTGAAACTTCTCATAGAATATGGACGAAATTTAGATATCGGTAGATTTTTATATTAAAATCTTTGTTTAATCAATACCTATTTCATCTAATTTTCTAATAATCTTTAAATAGATGTTTTCATCTAAAAATAGTAAGCTTTCAACAGCTTAATTTCTTAACAATTATGAAGATTATTATTCTACATTTCTCTGAACATCAATTTAGATGTTGTGGTTTTTAAGTAAATGTAATTAAATGTATTTTTTGAATTATTAGATAATAATTTGTATGAGTTATAAATATTAGTTCTATGATGTATATATTTTACCTAGGAAACTTTTTTTCTAGATAGTAAAGATGTTGATGGCAATAGTGCATTACATTTAGCATGCGAGGAAAATCGTGTTGATGAAGCTAAGTTGTTAGTGAAAAATGGTGCTACCACAACACTGATGAATAAACAAAAGAAAACGCCTCTGGATTTAGCAAGTCCAGGATTAGTACGGCAACTGAAAGAACTACAGGGAAATTGACCTTTAATAATAAAATGAAGCATCAATGTCATTGGCTCAGTGATGTTCAATCTGCATTTTTTTAGCGTTAATGCAAACTTAATATTTGATAATATGAAAGGTGTGTTATGTTAATTTATTCATACAAATTCGTACAAATAATTTTGTTATGTTAAAGATAATACAGATATGAGATATATATGAATGAATTCCTATATAGTTTTTAAATAACAAGTATTCAAAAAGAGGAAGAAAAACAAGAACTTACATTAATTATAGTTAGCATCTCAATGTACAATAATTTTTATAGTTGTAAGAGATACAAAATGAATGAAAATAACATTAATGTTTTCTTCAACTTGAAGATACAGCGTTCTTCCATACTACATGAAAATGTTATCAAAACAAATTGTTTATATGGGATAATGTTCAAAATGCCAATATTCAAAATAATATATGGCATATAACTAGAAACTATTTTACAAGATTGTATTAATTAATTTGCAAACAAAATTTAACAAAATCATTTAATCTAAAACCGTTGAAACTATTTCATCTGCTGTCTATCTGATATAAATAGTTTAACATATTTATTTGAATAAAAAAAGTCAAACGAAGGTGAATATTTCTTATAAAAGTCTTCATCTTCGTAAAAATATGGATACTAAATGGAACAAACGTTTCTCAATAATGTTAATATATAATATATAAATCTCATTTGCTTTTTATATATTACACAAAATTAAAATCATCTATTATTATAAAACTTCAAAATCATGTGTAAATAGTTTAAAGAACTATTAATTTAAAGAATTAGTTTCTTAGCTTAAAAAAAATTCTATTGTTCAAAAATTTGTGTGTTTATAACATTCTTTTCATATCTTTCATGTATGTTAATTTAAAAAATCTATTAAGCAATAATAACAAATATATTACATAATTAAGTATTCGATGCTCTTATATCAACAAATTTCTCTGAAATTCAACTAATTTTTTAAATTACAGTTTTTTAAAAGGATGCTAATAATAATATAAAATTATAAAGAAATAATATACCAATCATTAATTAAATAACCGATTGAAAATCACTGACCATAACACTTTCTTATTATTCTCAGTTTTCAGCATTTATTATGCTTTCTCTTTAACATACTTAAGTGTTATTAATATTTGATTTATACCTATATAAAATGTATCAAAAAGATTCATTATTTAGCTGGTCAAATCCTATTATCGCTGTCTCCCATTTTTTACTCTTCCAGTTAATTTATTTTTTCCATACTTATCTGTTTCAACCCCATTGGGATTCATACTCTTAAATAGAGATAACATTTCCAATTCCAAAGTTAATTGCTTAAATAAAATGCACCACAGTTGAAAATTATTTTCTGTGCTTATTTACACAAATTCACAGCAGTTCTCAGATAACATTAGGTGGTCTAGATTTCCTTTTCCTTCAGAGAAATTTTGGATGGTTTATAAAAAATATGTTATTCAGTTTTTAGTTTATTTTTATATATAAATTTTTTTAATAATTTGTTATCTTAGATAAATAATTTGATATAAACAAATTTTCAATTTAAAAAGTATATACATATTATAATTTCTCCTACTAATTCTATATTAAATTTACACTCAAATTAGAAACAAATAAGATAATAAGAGTCTATCTTGAAATATTAATTCTTTTTAAAATGTTGAATGTATTACTCAAACATCTTTGATAACGGAATATCAGAAAATTTGGTATTTTTAGAAGATATATATATATATGTATATATATATGAGTATATTAAGAATAAGAAATAAAATTCTGTTTTTACTAAGTATTGTAAATTCATTTCAATAATTGAAAAAGGAAATAAAGGAAAAATTAACAAAATTTTTATTATGGCTATATTGGAGATATTTTATAATTGTTATGTTGATTGAATTCCTTTTACATTATTTATTTGTTATATCTCTATTCATTATTTATAATAAAAATAATAATTATTATTATTGTGGAGTGATTTTGCACAATTAAAGATGTATATTTTTTACAATCATCCAAATTTCCATCAAAAAGAAATGCATTTGATGAAAAGGTTGTCGACGTTTCAGTGTTCGGTATTCAAGCTTTCTATACTTTATAAAAGATCCTGAGGTTCAGAGCTTTCACCTATGTTTCCAGACCTAAAAAAAGTACAAATATGTATATGTATCCTTTTACATTTCATTTTTGCATTCTACTCACACATCGTCGACATTTCTATTCAATAGATATAATTGAATACAATGATTCTTTTTACGTATGAAATTATAATTTATTTCTTATTAAGTAAATTCGTCGAAAATGTGTATAAGTTTATTAATTTAATCAAAAGATTTTCAAATTTAATTCATCATCATTATGTGGAGAAAATAGTCCACGATGGTGTGAAGTGGCAGTTCAATTGCGAATTTGAAAAGCCTGCCTAAAAAATCACTAGAAAGTTGTTTAATGTAAAAAACAGGCCGGTTTCGTCCAGACACCAATCACTTTGCCATATCAAAAAATAGAATATTCCGGACATATATATAAAGTATGCAATAAAGTATGTTGCACTTAGGAAATAATATTTTTGTACAAAGTATATTTTGTTTTTGCTCCAGCATCGGTTACGAAGTAATCTAGTTGTTTTCAATATCGAAATTGATAGTACACGTTATATATTAGGTACTTTTATCGCAAAAAATACATATCTATTAAGCTTTTTTTATATTTAATTGAAGAATGAAGTAAATTCGTAGAAAATAAATTGATCAAGTAGTATCATTCAATTTTTTTATAATAATTTTTTTCGGTATAAGACTTGTTTACCAAATACCCCATACTTTACGATACTCTGCATACGTATACATATGTACGTGTAATACATATGATCGCTCATTAACCTCCTTTTATCTTTCATTCCGGGTTGTAAATACCTTTAAGAATATTTATCTGTAATCAAATAATGAATATCTCAAGGTAACAGGGAACATCGCAAGTACATATAAAGTCGTTTGCCTGCTTTAAATTCTTTTCTTTGTTTAAATCTTTACAAAAGGAGGTTAAAAATGCGTTTTTTTCTAATGCATGAGAAATGCACATGTCATAAAAAATGCATATATAAAAACATTGCTGGCTTTCTCTTCTTCCTTTTTTAAATTTTGTTTTGTGATTTTCGACGATTCAATTTTAAATGCATAAAGAAATTCATTAGAACATTGCTTTTCTACCTAAAAACATTACCGGTAGAAGTAAAGTAGTCCTTCGAAACTGTTTGAAAAAGTTTAATATGTATATATAGCTGTAAAAAATTGATGTTTATTAGTATGATATTTATAAGTTCATGCAGATGGTAAAACAATGATATGAAAACATACATCGACTTTTCGATGCATTTAAAATTGAATAATACGAAACGAAAAAGTTCTCGATCTACGATCGACCCTAAGTACCAATTGATAACTCTCGATCGTCGATTTCTAGTTCGTTCCGTCAGACGAGTTGGAAACAAAAAAATTGACTATACAATGATTATTTGAAAGAAATCAAGAAGAGCAATTATTAACACATTCGACCGAAACATAAAGAATAAAATTTTTCTTAAAAATAATAATACTACTTTTCTTCGCTTTGAAATTTGATATCCGAGTAAGATATCTTTTTCTGTGCAAGGTATTTAGACATAAAAAAGCAAGTTTTCTTAGATGTTCTTTAGCTTTCGATCGTTTCAATCTGCTTTAATTTCCTTTAGAACTGTCCTTAAACTTCTGTGAAACATAAAAGCAATTTTTCTTCAGAAGTTTTAAATTTACTTTTTATTCGTTTGATTCGATGCTGTTAGTATATTATTTAAAAAACAGTTTCTTTAAACACTTTGATTAACAAAAAGTAAGTTTCAGCCTTTCGAAAATTCTATTAATCTCACATCTTTCGGAACGATGCTAGAATCGTCCGCCATTGACTTGATTATTAAAAATAATTACAAGTAACATATTACGATATTTTTCGCGATAAAAATAAAAACTGCGGCAATATAATAATTAATAATAATAATAATAACTATAATATAATTATAATAGATATTAATGCTGCCTAAATGCGGTGTTAATTCGTTATCGATTATGCAGCCCCAATAATATATTTCTAGTCTGAATCTTACCCGACTATGTGGTAGCATTTTCCAAAAAAATGACGAACATCTTCATTGTAAGATATAATTGAAAGAATGTCAAATATGAAGTGTGTATGGCATTCAAGTACTGTTAATGCATTATAGCATTAATATACATATTTCGTAAGCGTATATTTTGCACATTGAATTTATCGAAAAAAAAGTTCGATTAAATTTACTTGTACAACCTTCTTTTGCTGTTTGCTTATTAACATTGAAAAATGTTAATAAGCTTGTTATAAAATATATAAGAAAGACTCGCTCATATCAAGTTGACCAGAGAAAATTCGTCATTTTCTGTGGAGTTCCGGAAGAAACGGAGATAAAATACTACTTAATACGGCCTTTCGGGTTTCTTATGTACAGAAGAAAGCCGCCGCCCTCGTGTAATGGCATCGTTGGGTGCACTGGAATCGACTTCTGAACTCATACAAAGGAGTTCTCCGATTCGAACTTAACTTTGATCGAAACGGATCTTGCACACACTTCTTGGACCTGGATATTTTTATGAGTTTCCTGCGTTGTGAGGGTTCAATAAGTGGTGTGTTTTCTTGTTCAGTTGACAGTTTCCTCACCATCGATGCTTTCATCCTGTGTCGTCGAATCGTCGCCGGATCCACCGGTTTGAACAGAGCCGCGTTTCAGACGCGTCGAACTAAGGCTTATTGGAGGACCACCTCGTCTGTGCAGACATTTCATACAGTTTTAATCAAATACTCTGCTATCTAAGAAAGACGATGAATAGTTTCATAAAAATAAACAAAACGATTTTTAAATTATCAAAATTAAATGTCGTTTTTCAATCTACAGATGCTTGGTATACCCTTTTCCCAGTCAACCAATTATATACGCAGAATTAACAAAGTAATAACAAATTATATGATAAGCATTTTGAAATAACTATTTTAAAGTCTTTTAGTATGTTTGAAGATGTTTGAAATTACATAAAGAAACAGAAAACGAATAAGTAAAGTTAATGAGAATGTAACTAAAATTATATATGTAATACACACGTATAAGATTAGTGATATATCTTTAAGAGGGAAAATAGATTTTGGGATAAAAGAATCGTTAATAAAATTAATCAAATAGTCAGGAAGGATGCACTACAAAATAATATACAATTAATAAAATAAATAAATGAAAAGTAGTAATAGTCACAACTCACATAGTATAATGGAGAAAAAAGGAAGTAACAAGACAAAGGAGAAAATTATTTGAAATATTTGCAAGAAATATTCTATATAATTGAATATTTTATAGTTCAAAAATATATCTAAACTATATGCATATGTATAAATGACATGATTCGATATTAAAAGTAATTTAATTTATAGACTAACCAAGACTCGAGGAATGCTTGAGACTTGAAGAAATTCCGCTTTTTTCACGTGGGGTATGAACTATTCTTTTTCCCTCGACGCCTAAATATTTTAATATGTATAGTCATTTCTTATTTTCAAACCAATTTCCAGTAATTTAAATAAAAGGCAAAGAATTAGAACCTTTTGTCTATTAAATATCTTGACATATTTATCTTTCTCATAAGAAATAAATTATATAATAAAATTTTGCAACAAGTGCAGAGAATTGACTATTGTTTATAAATATCAAACGGTTTTTATATAATCGATATATATTTATTTATATTTGATTTCACGTTTATATGAATGCCAGAGAGTAAACACCTCACATTCTATTTAAATTCTATTCTATTATAAATATAAAACGAATAAAACGAAAGATATAAATATTTAAAAAATTGAACGACTAAAACTTACCTTAATTTATTTTTAAGATTTGCAACCTCTCTGGTTAGCTCTTCTTGAGATTCAAGCATATCATCCATTTCTCTTTGCGCTTTCCTTTTCATTGCTTTATGCTTGCTAATTTCTTCTTCAGCTTCGTCAAGCTGTCTCTTCAAAGCTTTCATTCTAGCATTCACTTTTTCTGCTTGTTCTTTATATTGATCTGAATTTCTCCTTTCGTCTTCTAGCTGTAAACTTAATTCCTTTAGCTTTTTCTCTAATTTTCTATTAATCTTCTGCTGTGCAAATCTTTCTTTTGCTTCAGTTTCTAATTGTTCATCAAGATTATTAATCTTTGATTCTAATTGTTGAATGGTAGCTTTGGTCTTTGCTCTTTGAGCAGTTTCTAATTCTGTGAGTTTCGCCTTCAACTCCTTGTTTTGCCTTTCTAATAACAATTTGTGCGATTCCAATTTCTGTGTAGTTGATCTCTCAGTCGTTAAATCATTTGTTAGTTGTTCGATAGTTATTTGCGCTTTTCTAGCTCTATCCATTAGCAGTTCACCATTTGATTGCTCTTCTTCTAACTCTTCTTCCAATGTTGCTATTCTAGCTTCTAATCTACGTTTTTCATCCAACATTAATGTACCCTTATTAGCGTTATTATTGAGTTCTTCCTGTAATTCGTCTCTTTCGTTCTCAGCAGCTCTTCTAGCGCGTTCACTGCTGGCATAATCTTCAGTTAATTGCATCAAGTCTGCTTCTAAACTCTTTACCTTTCTCTCAGTTTCTTTAGCACTTGCTGCAAGTTCATCTCTGGCAGCTCTAGCTTCCTCAGTTTCTCTAGTGCAATCTTTTATTTGGGTTTGAAGTTTCTTCAATTGTTTCAGTGCATCTTCTTTTACCTTATTATGCATTTCCAATTGCTGTTCAATATCTTTATAGTCTGCTTCCATTTTTTTACGTTGTGCAATAGCGGCAGCTCTTTGTTTTCTTTCATCCTCTAATTCCGCTTCAAGATCGCGCAATTGTTTCACCAATCCTCTTCGTTTCTCCTCGGCTTGTTCTTCTTTAGCTTGCAAGTCTCGCTCGAATTGGGCTCTTAAAGCTTGCATATTTACTTCTAGACGCAACTTTGCATCTTCCGTAAATTGTAACTCATCCTCGAGCTCTTCTACTTGAGAACGTTGCTCCGCTAATTGTGATTCAAGAGCACGTTTTGCTTTTTCTAGTTCATGCACATTTTTGTCTGCTGTTCCTTGATTGTTTACGAGTTCGTCCAATTCTGATTGGAGACCTCGACGAATTCGTTCGAGTTCTTCAACTTTCTCATTCATTTCGTCAAGTTCTCGAGTTAAGGATAAGACACGAGTTTCTTTTTCACGGGCCTCACGTTCGGCAACATCACGTTGCTCTGCATACTGTTCAGAGATCGCTTTTTCTTCAGCCAGCACCTTAAAAATAATAATAATACTAAGAGAAAGAGAAGTTTTAAAATTGATCATACTAATTCTACTGTTACTTTTGAAATTTATTAAATGTTTATTATATCTAAATGTAACGTAAAAATGAATGATATTTATATTACTGGTAATTAACATCTTATAGACCGTGAATAATCTGTGAGAAGCGTGCAAAAAATCATACTGACGATTACACATTGTGCTTTAATAAACATCTTTGTGGACGTGGAACTTTTGAAGCCATATAATGTTATAATAAATTATATCATGATATATAATTATAAATAGAATTACTAGATAATATATACAAATAATTATATCCGATTAAAAATTTGTGCATAAATGGTCCATAAGATATTCAATATTGCGTAAAAATAAAAAATGGTTCAGTGTAAATAATTTTTATATTGTTATTGGATACCAAATTTTCTACATTAAATATTATGAATCATTAATAATGATAATTGAAAAACTCACAGAAAGTTCCCCAAACTATCGTTAATAATTAAAAAGAAGTAACAATTCTATTAATTGCAAATTAATATAGAATTAAAGAATAAAAATTAGTTATAGAATAATAGAACAAGAATATATCTAATTATTCAGATATCGTTAATAATAGAAACAAATGATCAGTATAATATGAATATTAAGAATTTATTTGCTAATACTAACTAATAAAACTAATAAATTGGAATTTATTGTACTGTATATAAACTAAGAATTATTAGTATTAAATTAAATATAAATTAAGAATTTTAATTTTATATTTTTCCAGTTAATAATCAAAACAGTTAATAATCACCCACAGTTACCTTATCGAAATTTTTCTGTTTCTTCTCCAATTCCAGCACCTTTGCTCTTTGCGCTTCGAGCTCAATGATACTATCTTCTAATTCTGCTTGAATCTTTTTCTTTGATTTGTCTAATTTATCATTAGCAGCTTGTAGTTCTTCAACTTGTCTTTGAAGTGCTTCAATGTCTTTCATGCACCGTTTTCTTGCTTCTTCCAATGCTGTAGCAGCTTCAGTTTCTTCCTCAACTCTTTTCTTTGCTTCAGCCAATTGTACAGTTAAGCCCATAACCTATTTTAAAAAACAAAGCTGATAGATGAAGGTTTCATTTTTATGATTTTTTAAAAGCATACAAAATTTTTTTGATTAACACCCAGATATTGAAAATAACGAACTTTATAATAAGTAACTACAATTAAAATTAATTAAGTGCACTTACATTTAAAAAGTTTTAAATCATCAGTTAATTAAATAATTAGAAATCATACCTGTTTATCTAAGCATCTCTTTGCCTCCTCTTCTTCTTCTAATTGATCATGCAGACTTTCCTTTTCACTTTCTAACGCTCTCAATTTTGAACTTAAAGCTAATTTTTGTCTTGTTTCCTCCTCAAGTTGTTGCTGAAGTTCTGTAAATTGAGATTCGCAAGTTGCTGAAGCTTTCAAGGCTGCAGAAGCTTTCAACTCTGCTGCTTCTAATTGTTGCATAATACTTTCAGATTCTTGTTGTAATTTTGTTACTCTTTCTATCAGTTCCTGCCTGTTTCTTTCCACTTCTGCAAGTTTTGCATTTACTTCAGCAAGTTGTTGTTCAGCCTGTTTTCTTCTTCTATCTGATTCTTGCCTGCTCGCACCAACAGATCTAAGTTCTGTAGCTAAATCAGCATTTTCAGCCTCCAACGTTCCCTTTGCTTTTTCTAAAACAGCTTTAGTTTTCTTCAATGCATCCATTTGTTCGTTCAAAGCAGTCAATTCCTGCGTGTGCTTATGACGCATATCCGCCAATGTTGCTTCATGTATTGATGTTTCTTCTTCTAAATTCTTCTTTAATGTTGCTAATTCCTGTTCTCGTTTGCTTCTTAATTCTTGCTGTGCAGCAGTTGTATCTAAAGAATCTAATAATTCATTTTTCAATGCTTCTAATTCCTCATTTAAGTCTCGTTTTAGTTTTTCTGCTTTTCCCCTAGCAGCCTTTTCAGCTTCTAAGTCTTCTTGAAGTTCGGCCAATTGAGACTCTAATTCACGAAGTGCCTTTTGAGCTTGAGCTTTAGCTGCTCCTTCTTCATCCATTTTTGCCATTACTTGATTTAATTCTTCTTCACGTTTACCAAGTTGCAGTTGAAGTTCTTCTACCTATAAAAATTTATATTATTACTATTGTTTTATACATTTACTTAAAAATATATTTCTTACTTCTTAGTTTTTTACTTAGTTTTCTTTACTTAGTTTTTTCTAATGTGCTTTTATTGACAGAAAATAGGAAAATAGAACTTATAAAAATCACTATACCTGTGTCTTCCTTTCTGCAAGTTGTTCCTTCAAATCTGATACTTCAGTTTCTATTTTCCGTTTTGATCTATCTACTTCCTGTCTTTGTTGATGATCTTTCAACAACCTTTCTTCAAGATCTGCAATCGTTGCTTCATGTTTTGCTTTTAATTTAGATAAGTGCTTCGCTTTTTCTTCTTCCTCAGCAAGTGTCTGAGATAAATCATTTGCTCTTTCTTCAAGGATCTTTTTCTCCTTCAACAATTTTTGATTTGTATCCTCAGAAAGTGCAAGGTCTTCCTCAAGTTTTTTGATTTTTGCATCACATTGTACTTTCTCTAACTGTAATTTCTGTCTAGCAGCTTCCTCCTCCTCTAACTGCTCTTCAAGATCACTTATATTTAATTGCAATTTCTTTTTTTCTTGAGTCAATCCAGCACTTCTTTCTTCTTCCTCTTCAATTCTTGTTTCCAAATCATGAAGAATCTCTTCTAGTTCTTGCTTTCTGGCAGCTAATCTCGCTCGCATTTCTTCTGCTTCTGCACATAATTCGACTTCAGCTTGTAATTGTTCTGCTAACATAGTTTTTTCTTCCATAGCTTGTTGATATTTTCGTTCATATTCTTGTGCAGAATGTAATTGCATTTCTAACTTGTCCCGTACTTGTTTCAATTCATCTTCTTTTTGAGTCAATTTTTCCTCTTGTTTTGTCACTTCCAGAAGTGGTTTCACCTTCGTATACAAACGCCACCATTGCCAATTTCTAAGTTTTAAGTAAGCAGCACAATTTCTTTGAATAATTCTAATAGCATTTAACTGTTGCAAACGTTTCTGATAATTTCTGCGAGCAAGAAAACCACGACAGAATGCTTGGAAATTAACAATTATGTCAGTAATTTTATAATCACGTTCTTCTTCAAGATGAGCCAAAACTCCAGCACGGAAGAAAATTTTTGATTGACCAACGCGATAAAGATTAGGGTCAAGTTCAAGAGCTTGAATCTGAAATATAGATTTTGTGAAATTACATATACATATATGTTTTAAATTTCTAGAACAATTAAGAGCAAATAATAAATTATATTATGTATATGAATACATATATATTATTGATTTATATATGTATATATAAATTTTAAATCAATATAATCAATATTTTATTATTTATTATAATTTAATATTTTATTAATATTGAATATTGTATTCCATCGTCATTATTATTATTGTGATATTCATTCGTAGTAAAAAATGTAATATATAAACAAGATTACACTTACCATTTTCTCACAAGCTTTCTTTCCATCCATAAACCCTTTAGGAATAGCATTCGGTGTTAGAAGTTCATATCTTTGTCTGAATTCTTGAAATGGTATTCTATTTGGAAATCCTTGTCGGCAAATTCGAATTCCTTCTAAAACTCCATTACATCTCAATTGATCTAGTACCAATGGTGCATCAATTTTTCCAGCCTTCTTTTCATGATTTGGTATGATGCATCTTACAAAATTAGGATTTGTGTTTCTTAAAGTAACCATTAATTTTGCTAATTGTTCCTTGTACAATTGAGAAACTGTTCTGAACATGCCTTTTCTTGTTCTTGCACCAAATTGTGTATCAGTTAATGCTTGCTGAGCCATTCCAACAATTTCTGCGTCTTTCCAAATATGACAAACGAAAGGATCTTGTGAATTTTGTAAAAGGCTAACAACATTTTCATTCAAAGGATCCATATTTTTCATTAACCATTTGGCAGCTGAATAATCAACTTTTCCAGCATAATGTATGATAGCAAAATCTGCCACACCTCTGAAGTCTGTTTTCATGAATTTTGGATGTACACTATGTGCACCTACTAATTTTTCAACAAATGTTTTATCTGTTGCTTTAGGGAACCAACATTCTTCATCCAGTAAAGCCATGATGCCTGTTTTGAATTAAAATTTGCTTAAGTTATTGAAGAAGGATTGATGATAAATAAACATAATTTGTAAATAACAAAGTTTCCAATAGAAACAAAAGTAATTCAATTTTAAAACACTGAAAAAGTAATATTAAAATGTATACAATGTATTATTTAAATACACTAGCATGTTACTTCGACCGAGTGACTTCAGAAAGAAAATGTGGAATGTAAATATGTATTAAATGTACAAGCTACATTAAAAAGGAGCATTAAGTAATTCGAACATACCCATCGGTTTGTCAATCAAATCAATAGTTGGTTGCAAATCTAATCCAAAATCTATAAACTTCCATTCAATTCCTTCCCTTTGATATTCTTCTTGTTCCAAAATGAACATGGTATGGTTGAATAATTGTTGTAACTTCTCGTTAGTATAATTAATGCATAACTGTTCGAAACTGTTCAACTCGAATATTTCAAAACCAGCCATATCTAAGATACCGATAAAACTTGCTCCTTGTCTTTTTGTCCGATCCAATGATCGGTTGATTCGGTTTACAAGCCACCTAAACATTCTCTCATAGCAAGCTTTTGAAATTGCTTCTACAGCAAATTCAACTTGCTCTTTTGTTTGTGCTTTCGTTACGAAGTCTCTACCCACTTTAATTCTTGGTTTTAAAAACGCTTTTGTCATTTCTGTTACGCTCAAACCGAGTAAATGAGAAATTTTTTGAGCAACAGTATTGTCCGGTAACGTGGCTTGATCCGAGTTCCTTTCTTGACGGAACTGCATAGAACCAAATAACATTACCGCAGACACGATACGAAAGATCGAAGAAAAATCTTCATTTGTCATGCCCATGATATGCATGGACTTCACGGTTGAGAAGAACTCAGCTGAATCGTCCACTCCTGGAACTGGTAATGCGCCATTGGAAAGGAATGGATAGTGTTTCGGATCCTCCAAGATAAATTCCTCTGAAATTTTTTAAATATTGAATCATTTTTGTGTTTTTTTTTTAAATATATTAAAGGGATAATTGTAGAGCACGAAAGAGAAGATAACTGTTATTTATTATCTTTAATGAACTTAATTTACTACTATTTTCTAACTATAATGAAACATACAATATAGATAATATTTAGTATTTCCTTTTTTTGAAATATATTCATTTTGAATAACTCAGAATATAATAACTCAAAAATTTGAATTCGCTCAAAATAACTTATATCATTGAAATTGATATAATAGAAGTCTACTGATTCTTTTCTCTACTTATGATTTTTTGCTCATACAGAAAGAGTTCATGCTCAAGTAAGTGCACTAAACTGACAAGAGTATTTAATCTACTGACTACAATTTTATTGAAATAAATAAAGTTCATAAAAACGGAATTCTACTATACTTTAGTTTGCTCTTTAACAACAATAAGCATGACAAATTATTTGTCCCATGATCTTGTATAATCAAGATCCAGTATTATTGGAACTTATAGAGAATGAAATATTTAATTGCATATAATTGCATTTATTCTGAACTTATGCTAACTCGTGTTTGAACTCGTGATGAACTCGTAAACGAATAAAGATCAAAATTTAAAGCCTGAATATATACTCAAATCTGTATTTACAAAATTAATTTTTTATTTCAATTTCTCCCTTTTCTAGAAATTAGATTCTAGAATTAGAATTAGAATCTAGAAATGATTCATCAAAATATGTCATTTTCATCCTCCATCTGCAGTGTTGCTCCAAAGTGCACAGTGAACGGAGTACAGCTGAGCTTTACAGAATGAATGATACACTCATAGTGAAACGCCACTGACAAGTACATATAAACGCATGTTGAATGCATAATCGAACGATCAGTTCGCATTTCTATGATACACATCGTACAAAATGAATATGGAAACGAATGCGGATAAATCAGAATTTTGATTTTTTGCAAATTAGTGAATATAATTATTATGGGTATTTGCTTATACAAAATGTTTTGCTAAGGGTGAACGAAACTTTGCAAGTTATTTTGTGGTGTTATTCTAAGTAGAAAATATCTAATAAGCATATCATTACTCCTAGTGTGCTAAAAATGCCTCTTAATGCAATAAAACTAATTATTTATCCACAGTGCTCATTTGGAGTCTTCATCTGAAGCATTCATCCAGTGAAGTTGTGTAAATACTCTGGCTTTAATCCTTCATTTTCTCTGGACGTGGACGAATCATCGCCAGTGGTTCTCCAATGTAAAACAGTGTAAATTCGGTTTTACTACAATTTAGCCATTTGCATTTTGTCTCGTACACAATTAAATTTCATAACCGTTCTATTTTATACGTGGTTTCCATATTGCATCAATTCCACTTGGGATAATATATTCTTCCAACCTTACAAACAGAGATTTATATATGCCATTTCATAAACAGAAATTTAAACAGGAAATGGAGAACAAGGACGTTCTAAATTTGTATTTTGACGAATGAAGAAACTGATGCATTCATCATAGCGTTACGTTATTAAACGACGTCCAAAATGATTCGTTGCCTGACATTCCACGCATGAATAATTGAACTTCAAGTCAGGTAGCACAGCTGAGTCATCTATGAAGAAGGTTGTTTCAATTCGTTCGTATCCTGAAAGAACGGGCTTGATCGGAGAATAGATTCGGCTATGGATCAAAATATCCCTAACAAGTACAACACATAATGGGCGGAAACGTTCAGTGTCTGGAAGCGGGAATATCGATTCACTTCTCCGTTGAGAATAGTAATAAACAGTACGTCCTATGGGCTTGGCCTGAGTCAATAACATTTTACACGGCATAAACGTGCACAGAATAAACCTATATAAGACAAGTTGAACTGATAATGAGCTGATAACATATATCATCATTTCCATGAATCTCAATCTCATATTGTTATTAAACCAATAAATTCTAAAATACTTCTTGCAATCTATTTACGAAGTTATTCGTGGAAATGAAGCTGTTCCCTCAAATATCATTTATCTTTACAGTTAACATATTAAAGCGAAAGAACTGAAAGAAATTTGTGTCATAAAAGGAAAATTATGAAAAGTGTAAATGATCTTTTTATTACCAATGACAAATCTCGACTTACTTTTTTGATCAGCGGAGGCACCCGCTAGGAGTTGATAAAATATGTGGAAGGTTCTCTCATCTTTCGCTTGTCGAATTGCTCTTGACTTTTCCAGAAGATAAGTCTCTATGTTCGCACCGGCAATGTAACCCGAGGCATCGAAGTTTATTCGAATAAATTTACCCTGTTTCATAAATTGTCAGTTATTAACATTATTAATTATCATTAAGGCAAATTGTTTGTTAGGTACAATGCACTACTTAATATTTTCTCCTTTTAGACTCTTATTTAAAAAATATATATATATTATAATTAATATAATATATAAGTATATAATTAATAAAACAACAATAACAAATAAAAAATATAATTTATATAATATATTTAATGATAAAATTAAAAAAATGATATATATATATACACGTGCGTATATTTTTTCTATTTTCTCAATCACAGTAGAAAATATTAATTTCATTGTATTATATCTGTTAATAAGTACTTATAAAAAATACTTGTAATAAAAATAATTGTTTTCTATTATGCAACTTTAGAACAGTATATGCAATCAATTTATAGAAATAATTCATTAATAGTGTATTATGTTTCTTAAAGTAAATATTTTACCTGAAGAAACAAAAACGTTTTTGTCGCATAAAAGGTTTAATTGCAGACGAATATTAATTTTGAGAAAATGTTATAAGGAAAAAGAGCAATATTTGTTGAACTTACAAATCGGGATGAGTTGTCATTCTTCACTGTTTTAGCATTCCCAAAAGCTTCTAAAATTGGATTCGCTTGTAAGAGTTGCTGTTCCAATTCACCCTATCATCAAAAATTAATCACATTAGTAAACATAAAAATTGTTAATTTATCTCGCAACGTATGTATCTGTTTATGTATTGTTTTTAGCAAGATTGTATTCTCTGATTTTATATTGTCAAACGCATTTCATAATACTTTAAAAGTTCGGTGGAGAAGTTATAAAATATAAACGTATCTAATCTACAAAGTTACTGTTAACTGACATTGATAGAAATAGAAAAAAAGCATTTCCTTCAAATGGATCTGCAAATAATAGTGAAACTGTAAAATGTAAAAATGTTTTCAAAGCACTTGTAGAATTGTAGATAATTTGTAAAGATAATCATAACTTTATTATATAAGCAATAAACGCTTCTTATAAGTTAGTGATATTTAAATAAATAATACGTCGTTAAACGAATTTACAGCACGTGCGCAAATACAATAAATTTTTAATAGAACAATAAATTCGTTTATGTATACTTTAGGAAATTTGCAAAATAATTGCGATAAATAAAACATGAGCAATGCATAAAATGCAACAAGAATTATGATATAAACAGATATTTTTTAAAGAAATATTATATCATAGTTTGTTTCACTACAACTATACATGTTGCTAATTAGCTAATAATTGTCTCATCTAAATCACCAAACAACCAAAATAATAATGATTATTTCAGAACAATTAATAATGTAAAAGCGTAATTCATTACCCATTGTATCTAAAGGATACAGAACGTTGTATATTATCTTAAATTGAAGAGTGCTTGGAAAAAATACAGTGTTTGTAAGAAACAAGTATTAACGTGGACCAAATTTATGAAAAAGAAGGGCGTATCTGTAGGAAAACCTATGTGTGCCACTTTTTAGTTATAAAGAAAAATCAATGTTTGATTCAATTAGATAAATGGCATAGACAAAAGCTAAGAAACAATTAACTAATGTTTACTGGCACTATATATTTTTCTGTAAAGGAGACGTTGTGACACCATCTTCTAGCATTATGGATAATTATTTAGTAAGGGAAATTGCACCTAAATTCTATGCTATGGCTTTCTCAGTGGTATATGGAACATTTTCCAATAAAAAATCCAAGTTTTTCAATCTTGGCACTTACAGTATTTTTTACAGGCACCTTTCAATTAAATAACAGAATTTATAAGTTTCTATTTAACTTAAGAATCAATATGAACATTTTAATAAATATAGCAATTAATAGAAAAAAAAATGGCATAAAGCTAATTTCTCAGCTTGATTTATCTATTTATAAAATCTATGTAATCAAAGCAATAGTTGATAAAATGGCTAAATTAGTTATAATCGTGTTTAATGTTTAATATAAAGAAAACATTGATCTCCGATATTTACCATTTCCATTATTATAAAACAAAGAATATCGTTACGTTATTTAAAACTTCATACGATTAAGCGCAAAGTAAAATATGTGGCAAGCATACAGCACACGCACACACATACATAAACACGACAGCGAATATATTAATAAATAATTTAATCAATCGACTCTCACGTTAATTACCGCAAATTTATCCGAAACATTTCCGGAACCCTGAATCCAGCGAGCAGCAGTAAAAAAAAAAGAAAAAAAAGAGTAAGAAGAACATGTTAGAACTTCGAAATACTTTGTTTCTTAATCGACTAAAAAGCTATCGTGTTAAAGACAATATTTTGAAATTAATTTTTAATTAACTCTCCACTTTATTAGTACGTAGAATAAAATACGAGGGAGGAAAGAAGGACGAAAGGGAAGAGAAGGTGAAAGAGAGAACAAGCCAGATTACGTTTCTATTAAGATTGGTAATATTAAATATAGTTAATTTACATATATCATTAGGTAGAAATAAGTATCAAAAATACCCGATAGATGAAACGAAGACGCAATAACATACATATATTTTTACGTGCATAGAATATACGAAGAAGTTAACAAAGTAATGGGAACAAAATTTCCAAAACCTGGGAATACAAACTGTTAGTGTTAACCAAAGCTAAAAACAGATAGATATTACAAAACAGAAAGCAAAAAGAAAAATAAGAAGGAAATATAAAGAAGGCAGACAGTAGCGTATATATCGCGTGAGCGGAATGTTGATCATTTTGTTGTTGACTTACTATGATTAATGCCGGACTTGGTGTCTAGGTATGTTGTAGCCGCCGAAAGTCAGCACCGGGAATGAAAGAATTTATAAAATTAAATTCACGAGCCTTAGTTCACGAATCTAATTTTCATTCGAAGTTTTGGCAAACTCAAACAACTGAAACACCAGCAAATGTATATCCAGAATCGCTCGGAGTGAATCAGTGAAATCCGAGTAAAATTCAAAATATTTGAAAGTTCGTCACGAGTAAGACTACGCAAAAAAGAAAAAAAAAAGAAAGAAGAAAAAATCCTGTTTCCATTTGTAATTACTTGTTTGATACGTGTCATTGAAGGTAACTCGAGTTTGATTCACAACAAGTATAACGTGGATTTTTTTTTCTACGTTCGTAGAAAGATAATGTTTCCATCTAAACGCCATACACAAGCTATTTTGAACATAATTTACGTTAAATGAGGATATTCAATTCTTCAACTAAATATTCTGACTGTGGCGTGTCACGCATTATAAAAGCTCTCGGGACTCCTTCTTAATGATTTTGCAGTTTAAACGAGATTCGTGCCGTTGTTAATGTCGAATTATGAAACACGTGAAAAGGGAACGACGATAGTTTTTTCCTATATAAGAACACAAGTTTCGAAGCATACGGTGACTCAGAACAGTCCGACGAGAATGAGTCAAAGCCGAGTTAGGCCGATAAGTGGATCGTTTCACTGAAAAAGGAAAGATCCTTCGAGAGCCAGTGATCTACGATGGCCTATCATTATCTATCGCGATCGCAAAACAGTCGTATAGTATTCGATGATCGAGTTTTTAAATAGTTCACGTAACCCTTGCACAATCAACATTTACTGTACGTATTTGTCCTTTGTTTCGTTTTCTTTTTCTTTTTTTTCTTCTTTACTATATCACGTGTAACAACACGTTGACGACATTTTCAGTAAATCACGTTCGTTTGACTATACAATTATTAGTATGTAAATACAGCCATGTATACACTGAATTCTTAGTACTATATATAATACGTTCTTATTATATGTAAGATTATTTTGAACGAAACATATCTCTGAGTAAATATTGTTTATGAAAGTTGTTTACATTATGTAATCAGACTGGTCAATGTCTTATTTTCTACAATTCATTAATCAGTTTTTCAATAAAGATAACTTGCAATTTAATCGAGAGTACTAAAAATATATCTCTCCATATACCAAAATATCACAGTGCTTTCCTTGCTTTAGGAAGTTCAGTATATTTTATCTTCGTAGTCAAATTTTATCTACTACAACTGCGGAAACTGAGGCTGAATTTCCTTCCTGTGTCATTGTTCACGATATCGTACATGTATTAATTTGCACAAAATTCTAAGATTATTACGATTACGTTGATATTTTTTAATATTAAAAAAATGTACAAAATACG